CCAGGGTCCGTGGTGTCCCGGCGCCGGAGTGAAGGACATCTGGGAAGATCGCATCCTGGGTGCACCGGACCTGTGCAATAATCATGCTGTCTAATCAACATCTTGATATGCCACACCTGTGAGGTGGATGGATTATCTCGGCAAAGGCAAAAATTTAGACAGATTTGTGAACAATATTTGAGAGAAATAGGCCTTTTGTGTACATAGAAAAAGTCTTAGATATTTGAGTTCAGCTCATGAAAAATGGGGGCAAAAACAAAAGTGTTGCGTTTATAATTTTGTTCAGTGTATTTATTTATTTATTATTACATTATGAGTGCTGTGAATTTTTAATAAACTCACTTGCATGAAAAGCTGTATTACTGCATGCATAGCCTGTCTTTGACTTTTTAATGACTAAACCCTTTTTTGTTGTTGTTTAGAATTCCATGATCTCAGTTATTCCAATCTATTGATCTCCCGTGGTATGTATGAAAACACTGTAACTTTGATTCTCTTTCAGTCAGTCACATTCAATGTTACGTCTACACTGATATTAGGGGTCTCACTTGGGACTTGGGGGCTAGCGCTCCCCAACCCATCTTGCTGGCTTGTTAGTTTGACTGGGCTATGCGATTCAATTTGCCAGGTGCCCTCCCAGGTTCAGGGGCATCCTCTTTACGTCAGTTATGGACAAGGACCTGTGTTCTGTATGCAGAGAATTTAGTCCTTCTGGTGAAGGATATGATAGAATTCGCCACTCCAGCTGAGATGAAATTGGGATTTTACAGCCCTTATTTAATCACACCCAAGAATAGCGGTGGGTTACAACCAATCTTGGATCTGCGAGTCTTGAATCTGTCCCTACACAGGCTTCTGTTCAAGATGCTGACGCAGAAGCGCATTCTTTCATGCGATCAGCACCAGGATTGGTTTGCAGCAATCGACTGGAAGGACTCATACTTTTATGTCTGGATTCTGCCTCAACACAGCCCATTTATTCATTTTGATTTTGAGCTCATTCCACTTGGAGTGTTGCCTCCTCCTTGGCATTTGCGCACAGTACCTCTCTAGCAGACATCTGCACAAAAAGATACAAATACCAGTGAACTTCAAGTAATGCGCTATAGTGAGAGAGAGAGAGAGAGAGAGGGAGCGAGAGCTTCCGCTGTGATGCGCTTTCATGACAGCACGCTGAAACACAGGCAAGGACAGAATTTACTATAGATTTCTATAAAGTTCTCAATATAATGCTATGTTTATGGCAGATTTGTTCTATATTTTCATCTACATTATCAAGTGATTCCTGAAATCACCTGGCAAAGCCATACAAAGCTATAACCAATCAGAAAAAAAAATTTCCACGATCATCGTTTTCATGATTGATCGTCGCTGTCACGGCCGAGTGCTCAATCGCTGTTGTACATCCCTACCTTATACTGGACTAGGTACCCATACATTAGGTTCCCTTGGGTAATCCTATATGTTCTTCCACGGTTTGGTTTCCCTCGGTAAACCCGAGTTTTTCCCTGTACAGGTCTGCTTTCGTTTCTGTTGTGTTCCCCTGAACTGGGGTTAGGACAATATGTTAGACTTTGCTACAATCAGTCTTATGATTCAAATTCCTGTTTGGATGTGTCTCCGCACCCCAGCGATTGCTGAAACGAATATTGAGAAAATCGGAACACCTTTTTCGGCTTCCATAATAAGCCTTGTACTTGATGTTTTATCTGGCTTTTTGGGGTGCTGGGCAGGTTCCGAATTGAGGTGCATCTGTCATGGCACGCTTGCTTGCCAGCACTGCAACATCAATTTCATAACACAGTTCTGGTGCTTTTCATAGGGACCCCTAATGTCAGTGTGGATGTAATGTCGAATGTAACTGACTGAAAGGGAACGTCTCAGTTACGTATGTAACCCTCGTTCCCTGAAGGAGGGAACAGAGGCGTTATCTCCCTCATACCACATCCGTGAACTGCGCTGAATGCCGGGATGCTTCTCGGCCCCTCAGCACAAACCTGAATGAGTGGATGCACACCGCCATCTCATATACCCATATGTTCAGGGAGTGACTTGGCATGCAATTTCCACTTGCCAATAGTCATTGGCCATTTCTTGTAATGCTCAGAGGTGATTGAGGCTCCTAAGTGAGACCCCTAATGTAAAGTGTTGACGTAACATCTCCGTTCAGGGAACGAGGGTTACATACATAACTGAGACGTTCTGCCTTATGTAGGGTAAATGCATACAAAATGTACATTAAGTCTAATTTTATCGGTTACACTTTCTCTTAGTCTTCGATCAAAAGCCCACACTTCCAGAGATGGTACGTGTTCCTGTTACTATGTCAGGTACCTTAAGATCTCTCAAACTTAATTATTATGGAATTTTATATAATAAGTATACAGTCAAACCAAAAACATATTGATATTTTTTTACTAGTGGGTGCAGGACACTAGTTCATTTATGTAAGTGAGGATAGCAAAATAAAGTAAACTGTGATATATTATACCCAAAAATTATTCACACAGTGGACTATCAGTAAAGCTGATATAAATTTGGGATCAGAAATTTGATTTGACACTTTAACCTGACCATGTTTTGTTACATACCTTTCTATCAAAGTTATCTGACATTATCAAGATGAATTGGTTCTGACACAGTTTAACTCTTGTCATATTTTATTAACATTTTCTAAACTATAGCAAATAAACTGTGATTAATGTGAGAAATGTTGAAGGTGTCTGAATACATTTTGGTTTGACTTTATGCTGCATTTGGTTATGTTCTGTCTTAGCTCCAACAGTTCGTAGCAATTGTTTCCTGCTGCCTGTTGTTGGTCAGTCTAAGCCACTCTGTTTTGACGTTCCTGTTCCTCACAAACTCAGACTTCTACAGGATTCAGCTTCAGGTTTCTACTACACATTTACTACAAACATCCTTTTAGAAGTCATCTTTTTCTTGAATTAAATGTTTTATACATACATTTACTTTGTGTCCTAGAGTTCTCTATGAATGGAGAATCCATGACTGGACAAAATGGATTCCATCAAATTACTTTTCATTACAAAACAAACCATCATCTGACTATAAACACAACGTCTGTCAGATACCATGACGGCCAGAATCAAGTTGAGTTCTTGTGGGGCCAGGAACTGACCCAACACAATACTGAGGGGTAAATACTACTCAAACTATACGTGTTTCACGAAACTTGTGTATGTTCTAGCCTATATGTTAACCTGAGAGATAGAATTCATTCTTCAGCTTTTCTGTTTCATCAGCGTGTCTCTGATTCTACGGAGCACTGAAATAGACGTCACGATGGAAAATATTCACGTCGTTATTCTTCTCCATAAGGAAAAAAGGGACATGTTTCTGTGGCCCGCTGTTCAGCAACAGCCAAAAGATGTCAGTTTGACAGGCATTTTAGGTAAGAGTGCTCCACTTATTAAACATTTAAGCACGCATCAACAATTTGGCAATCAAATAGTACATTTTGATTTGTAACTTGCTTTAATTATTAAACCAACATGGGTTAAATAACTGTGGATAATATTAAAGGAAAAACTGATGCTTCATATGAGGAGATTCAAGGATCACAAACACCAACTCTAAAGATAAATGACCAGGAAGTGAGCGCAAGCTGGTACGTGATAAACAATACATTCACTGCAGATTTTTTTTTTGCTCGTATTATACATCTGTTTAATCTATGAATGTGTCTGTAGGGAGGACGTCACAGACTACAGACTTTCTTCAAAGCCGGTTATCAAATGCTGGCTTGTCTCGTTCTACGCTGCGATGCAGAGAGACATTTCTGATTTCACTGTCACTAAGCTGTAGAGTTCAAAGCTGGCAAATGATAAACTGGGACAGAGCATGTTTCTATGTAAAACACTTGCTGATGTTTGTGTTGAGTGTTTTTTTTTTTTCTGTCATTGGCAAACATGATATCTCTGACACTCCTCAGCATTTCAATAAATTCATCAACATCTATCACATTAAACATAATATTCATTACTAGCATGTTCAGGTGAAACAAGTACATACTTGTTTACATTAGCAAGTGACATAAATGTATTTTTATTTAGAAGTTTTAAGGTTTTATTTGGAACTGCATTAAATGCAGGGGTAAAAAAAAACTTTATCAACTTTATAAATAGTAAAAATGACAGCTATTCTTATTTTCTCTGTTTAGTCCTAACGAAAACTTTTAAAAATGCATCCGATATGTGTAAGTCTTGAACATACAAATGCTTAAATGCATACTGTCTAAAGGTTTACATCATAAACCAAGTCATGGTGATTCATTAGATTTAACTAAGACTTCAAGGATGTGGGTATTTGAGTAAGCAGTTACACAGACAATCTAAATTATGTACGGGACACTTTATCTGTATGCTTTGACCTTTGTCTTTGTGCTTTAAACTTATCTGATCACGTATTTATGACTTACTGTAACACTTCCTGTAAAGGAATTTGAAGGAAATTTAAGATTACGTAACTCTTATTTCTCAGTATTAATTAAAGGGGTTATTCTCACACACACACACACACACACACACACAAACAAATCTTTCATCATTTACTCATCCCCATGTCATTTCAAACCTGTATTTTTTTTTCTGCAGGACACAAAAGATGACATTTTGAAAAATGACTTGTTTCATTTTATGGTCAAAAACATTCTTCAAAATATCTTTTGTGTTCTGAAGGTTCCATAGTTTGGAATGACATGAGAGTGAATAAAATTGTCAAAATTTAAATTTTGGGAGGTAAATGTGATTTAATCATATTATTTTAACATGGCAAAGCTGTGCAAACAAATTGCCAACTCCCAGGCTAAAACATGGAATTAAGGGCCTGGGATAGAAAGAATCCAAAGACAGAAGCTGAACGTTATATCTACTGACTAAACTTGACAGTTCACTAAATGGGTGGTTAAACAAAGCTCTGTGTTTATAGGCACTGCGTCACTCTTGTCAGGTCAAAGGCCATTTGACTTGCCTCTCTCCGGCTGTTTAAGTTTCCGTTTGAAGCACGGCTTTCCACTCGTGATCTTTTGAATAATACCCTGGGAGTTCCAGCAGATTGATACTGTGGATTACTGAGCTCATAGACATTGAATTTGTGAAATTAATCTTGAAGTTGAAGAAAAATCCAGCAAATCCTTGGAATGCATCTGTAATCACTGAAGTCACTATACAGGCAAGTGCAACATTGCTATGGCTTTGCATTTGCCATATCTGTAAAGGAATTACAGAGGAAATAAATCTGTGGAAAGACAAATAAACTGATTTCGGGCAATTTTTTGTTTCTCCTGAAGAGAACTAAACCAATAGCAGAATTTCTGCACTTTGAGTCCTGCAATCATTAACTATTCATGCATTCCAGAGCGTTTTATCAAGACTACTGTACAGTACGATCTCTTCTGGACCTCACAGGCAAAACTACAAGAATGCATAAGGATGTACACTGCATAACCAGAGGATTGTTGACAAATGTTTGAACATTTTCTAATGGTCTGAGAGACGCCTCGAAAGGGAAATAGTAGTAAAACTTTGTCCAGTTGCTTACAGTATTTCCTGCACGAATGTTATAGAACTGTTTGTAGAGATGCATGAAAATAATACTTGGATTTAAGAACCAATTACATTTATAATCATATTGTTGTTAATTGTTGGACACTCCATTATGGTTAATGGGACTACCGAGACGAACAGTTCCAGTCATGGACTGAGTGATGTTGAGCGAGTGTTGGTACCCATATTTGACAGCTTCATCCTGGTAACCGGGGTGGTGGGACACATCCTGGTTCTTATCGTCATCTGTCGTACGATGCGGCGAGGACGTGGACAGCCCAGTGGAGGAAGGACTGGAGGATTCCAACAAACAAATGCAAATGGCACAGATGTTCTTCTTCTGTCATTGAGTGTGGCAGACCTTCTCCTCCTGTCCTGTCTTCCATACCACACAGTCGCCATTGCAACCCGTCACTGGCCGTTTGGAAGCTTCATGTGCAAGTCTGTGAGCTTCTTGAGTGCGATGTGTACGGCGGCGAGCGCCTTTACGCTGGCCACTTTGGCTTTTGCGCGGTACATCATTGTGGTCCATCAGTCAAAAGCATATCAATGGCGCAGAGAGGGGCATTTAAAAGTAGTTGCGGGTGTACTGTGGATACCAGCGGTCGTCTTGGCATCGCCTCAGTTTGCTTGGAGGACGCTGGACAACCATAAAGCCCGTGAGAACCTGGCATGTTTCAATTTCCTGTCTGATAAAGGCCAATTGGCATATGGAGTGTGCCACTTCCTTCTCGCTTTTGCATTTCCTCTTGGGATCATTGTAATAGCCTATGTCAAGATATACCATTTCCTCAAAACAACTAGACAGGGCCGCACAACTCAGACTGACCATTTAGAGCACTACCATGTGCATGTGACCCAGACGTCTGCTTTGTTAGTGCTGGCTTTTGCATTGTGTTGGCTGCCATCCTATGGCTTGATGTTTGCCCAAATAGCTGAGGGTGATAAAGCGGCTGGTCCTTTACCTCACTTTGGACCTTTTGCTACCTTTGCCCACATCATGGCAACCTCTTCTACAGTGGCCAACCCCATTCTCTACGTTTTTATGTCAGAGAAATTCAGGAAGGAACTAATGGACCTGGGTCGAGGAGTGTGTAGAAAAAGACCCTCCTAAAGTCATACGGTTAAGAGTAAATTACCACGATTTATTCCATAAAGTAAGTTGTTTACATACGTGAATGGCTGTATATAATGTACTAACTATGAACATTTTGTTTATAAACAAACATGTAGAACATTTTCATGAGTGATGCAACAATGACCAATGGTTTGGACACTAAGGAACTTAGTTCTGGTATTTCAATGTACCAATTTTGCAGCCTTATAAAATGTCAAGAGGAACCAAACAGCTGGCATTGTTCATTGTCTTAATAGTTTGTGTTGTTTAAGCCTCAAATTTGTCAAGGGCTTGTTTGACTTAAGTTTTAAGGAGAACATGCACTCTTAAAAAAATGAAGGTTCATTATTGACATCTGTGTTTCCATGAAGAATCTTTAACATCCAGGGAACCTTTACATTCCACAAAAGACTCTTAATTGTGGAAAAAAGTTTCTTCAGATTATTAACAGAAAAAAATGGGTATTTTAAGAACTGATCACCGAAAGGTTCTTTGGGGAACCCCACATTTTTCTTCTGTGTGAAACCTTTATTTTAAAGATCGCACCTAAAGAAATATTTGATGAATTTGCAAATTTCTTTTGTGGTTCAAATCTTTTTTTGCTTGAGAGGGAATATTAAATCATAAATTTAAAAGGAGAAGGCAGCTTTTGAGAAAAACAGATGTAATACCCAATTTTAACATGTTTTCTTTTGATTATACCTCTATGTTAAAAATATATTTTCAGTATGGAGGCATAATGAAAGAACTGCAATTAATTTACAATTACAATTAATCCAGAACGCGGCAGCAAGATACATTTTTAATGAGCCGAAAAGAATGCACGTCTCACCTCTGTTTATCAATTTGCACTGGCTACCAATAGCTGCTCGCATAAAATTCAAGGCATTAATGTTGCCTACAAAACCACCACTGGCTCTGCACCCCTTTACCTAAATTCATTACTTCAGACTTGTGTGCCGAACATGACACAATGAACAGGGGAACCAATGGCATGAATACATGAGGGCAAGGGAAGCATGACACAAACAGGGACCATGAAACAATTACAAAATAAAAGACATGGAAAACATGAACATGAAACAAAACACCACATTACAGTGGACTTGCACTCTATTCATTTACAGCTTGTTTTCTTTGTATATATTTAAAAAAAACTAACACTAGCTTTTCTTATCTTTTTGTATTCTATCTATTTGTTTTCTTTTTATTTATTATACAATTAACAAAAGCAAAAATGGCCTCTAACACTAGCTTGCTCTGTTCTTTTTTTTATTCTATCGTTTTTTTTTAATGTATTATATAATTGAAAAAAAAACCTTGCTAAGTGTACTGCGTTAAGCTAACTGAGACTTGTTATAGCACTTGCATATCATTGCTCTTTTGTTGACTTTGCTTCCATTGTCCTCATTTGTGAGTCGCTTTGGATAAAAGTGTCTGCTAAATGACTAAATGTAAATGTAAACTACATGTTATGATCTACATTTGGAATTCTCCTCTTTTTTTATCCATAACTGCATTGCAAACTTAATCTGCATTCAATACTTGCAGTTCTTGCATTTTAAGCAAGCATTAGACATTAGACATGAGAATTTGTATTTATTAAGAGTCAATCTGGATTAATCCGTGGAAAGGCAGCTGAAGTGGATTTACAACAAACAAACAAAAATCAGCGTATCAAGCAAACAATATACTTAAAACAATTATAAGTAAGGCTTCCTAGGCCAGGTAGGATTAAACCATTGAAGCATTTACTTAACATGAACCATCAAAATCAAAAGGAAACACTGTTTGTCAACTCTACAGCTGAGTGACAGTGAAATCAGAAATCTCTGCCTCCATCACAGCCTGGAATGGGACAAGCCAGCATTCTTGAATAGGAGTTGAATGTAATCTGTAATCGCTGACAGTCTCCCTACAATTAACAGACACATAAATATTTGTATATTGTATATTTATATAAATATAAATATTTATAAACATACAGGGCAACACATTATGTTTTAAAATTAAGTACCAAACGTTTTATGGAAGGTTGTATGCATTTATTAACCGAATCACTTACAAAGATGTCTTCACCTCCTTGTCCTTCATCTTAAGAGTTGGTGTTTGTGATCCTTTAGTCTTCACATATGAAATATCAGGCTTTCCTTAAAAATTATCGACAGATATTGTGATTTGTCACTAATGTTGGTTTAACAACAGCAATTTATCCAAAATGTCTACTTAATAACAATAAACAGTTGTTGGCTAACCAATGTACAGTACATAACTGACACAATAACATCACTGACATTTTGGTTATATTCATATTAAGGTTTTTGGCACACTGTTCTTCTAAAATGGTTGTCAGGTTAAAGATTATTAAATGAATAAATAGTTCACCCAAAAATGAAAATTGGCTGAAAATGTATTTCCCCACGAGCCATCCTTAATGTAGACGATGTCACTGGAAAAAACAGGACTTTGAAGTAAAAAAAACAAAAAAAAAACATCTTGATGTATTTGTTTGTTACAAACATGCAGCTTTTCACTTCACAAGACATTCATTGAAGAACTGGAGTGGTGTGGATTACTTGTAGATTTTTAGTGATATTTTTATCAGCTGTTTGGACTCTCATTCTGACGGCACCCATTTACTGCAGAAGATCCAGTCTTGAGCAAGTGATGTAATGCGAAATTTCTCCACATCTGTTCCGATATCAAAACAAACTCATCTACATCTTGGATGGCCTGCAAAGTTGTGAGCAAAATTTCATTTTTGGGTGAACTTTTCCTTTAATGCGGAGCCTACTTCAGTATCGGCAGGAGGCAAGTTTTGATACTGTAAGTAATGTTTAAATATTTAGACAGTGAATTGCTCTCTTACCTAAAACACCTGTCAGGTTGACATCTTTTGGATATTTCCAAATGGCAGGCCACAAAAACATGACCCCATCTTTCTTATGAGAAATAATAACAACACCAATATTTCCCATGGTAACATTCATTTCATTTTCCAGGACAACCAGAGACACACTGTTGATATAGAGTAACTCATGAGTGAATTCTACCTCGGTTTTATCACAATAAAACTGTTAGCAAACAGAGAACAGTTAATATGCAGAATATTTAGCATTCATTTATGAATATATAGTTTGTTCTTTCTACATGTGGAGAACTTCTATATTTACCCATCTGTATTGTGTTGGCTCAGTTCCTGGCCCCACAAAATCTCAACATTGTCCTGGCCATTACGGTAACTGATAGACTTTGTGCTTATTATCAAGTGATAGTTAGTTTTGTAATGAATAGCAATTTGATGGAATCCATTTTGTTCACTCAAAGACTCTCCGTTCATAGAGAACTCTAGGATGACCACAGTAAACACATTCATAAGACAGATGGCCTGTTAAATAGATGCACATGTAGAACAAACATCTCTTAATGTCTAACCTGAAGCTGAATCCTGCAGGAGTCTGAGTTTGTGAGGAACAGGAACATCAAAACAAAGTGGCTTCGACTGACCAACAACAGGCAGCAGGAAACGATTGCTATGGACTTTTGGAGAGAGAATCAAAATGTCATGATTATTTCTTAAAATATGTGCATGCTCAGAAAAAAAATATTTAAGAAAAAGAAAAATTGTATGTACCTTGCACAGCAGGGGGAGTAGTTGTATGCATAGTTGGGGAGCCAACTAAGACCAACAAACATTGTAAAGGATGTAAATCCACATTCTGCATGTATTTATTGTAGTTAGTTTATTATTTTTTTTTAGTATTTAGTTCAGTTTGTTTTAAAGGTGACATGTGTAACTGACTGGCACACAGATCTACAGCAACAGTTATGACGGTATATGTCATCATTTCTAAAACTCTTGCTACTAGTATACCTTAAAACAGAGAGAAGTGACAGTAAACATTCTCAACAAAGTATGGGAGTCTTTATGCCAAAAATAAAAACCAAAATATCATGATTTTTTAGCCTACATGGACGTCTAGATGGTCTACTTATGAATCTGAGACCAAATGCAAGTAAAAAACAGAAAATACTGTAAATTGAATAACTTACATGTAGGCAGCATGTGATGAAGCATCTCTGAAAAGAAGAGACATTTCCACATTGTGAACATTATGATTCAAATAGTTTCAGTTTTTTATGCACTTCCACAAATTTTCTTTCAGAAAATGGAGATTTCTCAAAGAATCTTCTGATTGGTCAATGAGATTTCAGTCAAGCTAAAAACACCTGTGCAACATTCATTGCATTGCTCTGTTATGTCAGAAGCTGTATCTTCAAGTAGTATTGCACTTAATTAATAAAACATTTTTTTTAATAAATATTTGTGTCCTTAATAATGCTTAATTGTGTCCTTAAGTTTTTTTTTTTTTTTTTAAATAAAATCAATAAGGTTACAACCAAGCAGCAACCTTCCTTCCGGTCTCTCTCGTGAAGCCAACACGGAATTGACTAAAACTGCAATTCATCGACTGGCCGCTAGAGGCTGGCTCCAAAAGGGAGTCAGTCCCATAGACTCCCCATGTTAAAATGGCCAACTTTACAGCAGAAGAAAATATGTTTACAGCCTTTTACAAAAAATTATTTTGGTCTATATAGCTAATTTTGCCCTTCATGACAACTGTGAGGGGGGTGAATTTTTTTTATAACTCATCCGTTTAAATTATATTAAGCCTTAAAGTTCTGCATAATTAAGGGCGTGGCCATTTGAGTGACCGGTGGATTGCCATTGCTGTCACCAGCGTCGAGCTAGGTGGGCGTGGTTTCAGCAACCAGCTCCCGCCTCTTTGCCCATTTTCGATTATCCGGGAGTGACGCGCTGCCAAGATGGCGACGGCCGGCTCCGCCCACTTTGAGGTTCAAAACCACTCTTCAGAAACCTACGGGTGACGTCACGGACACTACGTCCATGTTTTTATACAGTCTATGGTTACAACTCAGGGGTTGTGAACACGTTGTGAACATGACTCAAATAGTTTAAATTTTTTATGCAATTATTATTCCAGAAAATGGAGATTTGTGACCCTGGAGCAAAAAACAAGTCATAAGTAGCATGGCTATATTTGTAGCAAAAGCCAAAAATACATTGTATGGGTCAAATTTATCGATTTTTCTTTTATGCCAAAAATCATTAGGATATTAAGTAAAGATAATGTTCCATGAAGAAATTCCCTTCCGTGAATATATCAAAACTTAATTTTTGATTAGTAATATGCTTTGCTAAGAACTTCATTTGGATAACTTTAAAGGCGATTTTCTCAATATTTGGATTTTTTTGCACCCTCAGATTCCAGATTTTCAAATAGTTGTATCTCGTCCAAATATTGTCCTGTCCTAACAAACCATACATCAATGCAAAGCTTATGTATTCAGCTTTCAGACGATGTATAAATCTTAATTTAAAAAAAATGTACCCTTATGACTGGTTTTGTGGTCCAGGGTCACATTTGTCAAATCATCAACTGATTAGTCAAATCAGATTTCAGGACCGTATTCACAAAACATTTTAAGGCTAAAAGTTGCTCATAACTTACCAATTTAGGAGAAAATCTTAAAAATAATGGGCATGTCGTATACTATACAATTACAATTTTTATTCGCGATTAAACGCATGATTGTATGTGATTCATCGCGATTAAAAATTTTAATCGTTGCCCAGCACTAATATATATATATATATATATATATATATATATATATCGCTACATACGTGTTAGGCTAATATTACAGATACATTTTATGCCATAGAATAAAATGTGAAAGCATCTTGAGCTTGTGTAAACCACAGACCATTTTTCAGGCGTTTAACCAAAAACGCATTCAGAGACGACTATAAGATGATGGAACGGAAGTGCTAAAATGCTAACTTGTTTCCTGGTTTTGGTCTACAAAAATATGTCATCCTTGCAGCACTCTATTCTGTGAAACACAAAAGAAAGAATTTTGAAAAGTGCCACTTCATGCTACATCAATAAATGGGCACTGGTTTTCAAGTTTTCAAGCTAAAAAAGGACAAAAAGCACCAAAGCACAATAAAATAGGCCCATATTACTCTATATTCCAAGTAACAAAAGAATGATTCCTTAAAGGGACAGTTCACCCAAAAATGACCCTTCAAGTCGTTCACCCTCATGTCGTTCCAAACCTGTAAGACCTTAGTTTATCTTCAGAACACAAATTAAGATATTTTTGAAATCCAAGAGCTTTCTGACCCTGCATAGACAGCAAGGGAAGCTATCACATTCAAGGCCCAGAAAGGTAGTAAGGACATCGTTAAAAAAAGTCCATGTGACATGGTTCAACCTTAATTTTATGAAGCTACGAGAATACTTTTTGTGCGCAAAGAAAACGTAAAAAAAAAAATATATATATATATATATATATATATATATATCTCCTTAATAACCTTTTTTTATATAAAATCAACAAGGTTACAATTAAGGGGTTGTGCTGTGTGTTGTACCCAACAATGCCCTTTAGCATTCAATATCCATTTTTACATTTTACATACTAAAAAACACTAATCAGTTAAATAAAAGCTACTAAACTATTTCAGATCAATAAATAAGAACAAATATTTTGACATACCATGATAATCCCCTGCACCTGTGATGTGAAAAAAAAAAACACAAATAAAAAAAAAAAATATTAATTAAGAACCATTACATTTATCAATTTCAATAAAGGTAAAAAATTTATTTGGCTTACTGTTGTGCCCTTGTAATGCTGAAATATGAAAACAAAGACATGCATATATCTTGCATATATTTAGAACATTTAAGACAAGGGATGTTTACATTTCTGACCACTTTACACATACAAATGCATTTTCATATTCATAAAGCTTACTCAAAAAATTACACACATCACCTTTACTAAAAAAGCTTGCTACAATTATTCATTAAAACATGCAGTAAACATTCGTAACAAAATAAGGGAGTCTTTATCATCAATGTTCCCTCTAATTTTTTTTCTTTAGGCGGACATTTCGGGCACCTGAGCAAAAACATTCTTTATACCCTGCACAGCGCACACAAAAAAGTGTGTAACTTTTAACTTTAATGTGCTATTTATGTTTGATTTGACCCTTGATGTACCTAAATGATGTACATTTGAGGTTACCCGAGAACCTTTTT